CAAGTATTTGTTCCCTCACATTTTCGCTCTTTAAAATGTAACTTGCAAACTTAAATAGATAGCAATTAAAAATATGGTCCAGTATTAGACCTATTATGTGTATTCTTTCTGCATAGCTGATTCCCCAGAAAAGCAGGCATAGTTAGGTTGTGGATATTATATTAGCAGATACTAAAATAATAAGTTTTCTTTTCACTCTGAAAAAATGTTAATGCTGTCCATGACTGGGGTTAAGTCTTGTGAAAAACCACAGCATGATAGCATTACCATTTTCAGATGGTTGGTGTTCTTCAATAAATACCCCCACCGTCAACTCTTCCCATCAAAAACCTTTATACTGCCAAGTTCCTGTGTCTGTAAAAACCAATAAAATAAATGTAGAAGTTCACTGGCTTCAATTATAACAAAGTACTGTGCTGAGTGGAATGGTTCTAGATAAGTTACCAAAACGCAGTGGAGGATTACTCCTTGCCAGAAGTTAAAATAGACAGGGAAATTTTTTCTGGCTGCTGTCATGAAAGGACTTGATGTCTACTGATGATTGAGTCTTTTCATCTCTTGTATGTGTTCAATTTCCCAGGGAAGACCTTTACTGCCCATAATTAAAAAGCTACTCTTTCTTAGCTTTTAATTCCTTCTGGTATGAAATAAGTCATACAGATATTAATTGCCTTTTCTATCTCCAAAATCCATGATAACATGAGATACAGAATATTTCTTTGGAAAAAAAGTCTCAGTTGGTTATATGTGTCAGCTGGAACTAGCCAACCTTCTTACTGGCACCTCATAGGATCAAGACACCATGTAGTTTTAACCTTAATACAGGGTTTTCATGTTTTGGATAAAACCAGTAAACAAAAGGGAAAAGTTAAAAGTTTCAATTCTTTCAAACAAGATGCACAAGGAGGAACAATTTGAATGTGAGAAGCCATGAAGCTATTACTGAGATGTGCAACAAGGAAGAAAGCTTCAGTTCCTACCTTTTTCCCTGTCATGATAAAATCCTGGAGCAGATTTGGTTCAAAGGGACTTTAAAGATCATCCTGTTCCACCCTCCCCTGCCACAGGCAGAGACACTTTCCACTAGACCAGGATGCACCAAGGTCTAGCCAATCTGATCTCAAACATTTCCAAGGCTGAGGTACTCACAAGTTCCCTGAACGACATGTTCCTGTGCCTCACCACTTTCACCATAAAAAAAATTCTTATTTATTCCTTATCAAAATCTGGCCAGTATCATCTTCTGCTCATGTATATTGGTCAAAGTGACCCTGCCCTCCCCTTTCTCCACTTTGCAGCATTGTGTCTTCCTAGATTCTTCCTTAGCTTTAACTGGTTCTGCAGTTCCTTGGCTGAGTAAAAATTGCCTCTTTACACACAGAAATTTAATAAAAAGAAATAGCCAAGAAGGGGAACTGGCTAAATTCTGCAGTGTCTTTTGCCCATCTATCCACCCCTAATCCCTGCAGTTTCTTATAGTGTTCAGTATAGAAAATAACATCTACTTTCTGGTCTCTTTTTGAACTGGTCAATGATGGTGTCATCACACATATTTACAATGGAGAAGATTGGGTGAGGCCCCAGGGTAGGCATGAGAGTGCAGAAACATCCAGAAACCACACTCAGCCAGAGCTTTGCCATACCCATTTTGGTATTTTATATAACCCCATAGCTTTAAGTTTGGTATAAGGTATACCGAACTGGTATTCTGCATACCTGCAATATATACATTGCAGGTGTGTGCTGGAGCACAGCCTCAAACAGCCAGCCAGGCTGGAACCACTCTGCAGTTCAGATGAAGTTCAGAAAACCTAAGACAGGAAGAGAAAGGATCACTCTAACCCACCTGCTGCAACAGCCCTCTCAGCAGATAATTTCAGCATTTTATGCACCAGCAATCAATGGGTAAAATAAATGGCCTTGAGCTCAGGCTTGTATCTCCCTTCTGCTCTGTGGCTGCTGGGGGAACTGAGCACTGCTTCGATTTGTTCTCATGCTCATCCAAGAAATGTTCAGGACTTTTCTAGCAGTGCCATCACTTAATACACATCAGGCAGGGAGTACTAAAAATACCTTCCCCCTCCAAAATCACAGTTATTTCTCCCTGCACATGTGGAACGTGAATCCCATTTTGGCAGAACAGACTTGAATCTACATTTCTATTTCAAAATGTCCTATAGTGAGAAAGAAATGAACACTATTGCCCAGTTCTCTTAATTGTTGCTATGCTCTGCGAGAATCCTGGTGCTTTTCAAACGCATCCTCCTCCAGCTACATCTCTCCCTAAGGAAGACCTGTCTTCTGGACCCCACAGAACTCAACGTGTGAGCAGAGAGTTCTGTAGAAATTTGAGCTTCTACCTTTTTATGCACTGACCTCCAGGGAAGGGTCTGCTACAGATCTCAACAGTATTTTCAGTATTGTAGTCATGCACTTAGAAAAGTCCTTTTTGTGGGGATTCACCTGTGAGGTAACTTACCTGCTCCTCCAACCAAAAAAACTCAAACCCCAAACATAACCAACAGTCCTGATTTAGAATACAGGTGTCTGCTAGGGAGGGCAGAAGTCCCCCTTGGAATGAAAATGTAGACTTCCTCCCTCTGAATTACTGTAATTTTGAAATCAAGGGGCTCTTAGGCAGAGATCTGGGGATAGGAATAACAGTTCTTTACCAGTGTGTATAACAAGGCAGACAAACAACAATAACTACAGCATTAACAGCAAAACAGAACCAGGGACCCCGGGACAGCCTTCTCGGCCGAGACGGGAAGGGATGGAGGAGAGGCTTTGCTTCACAAACCCCTCGGGCAGTCAGTCCCGGTGCTCCTGCAGGGCTCTGAGGAACACTCAGCTGGAACAGCAGGGATGAGCTGAGATCCTGGGCTGGTGGCTGAGGTGGATCAGCAGCTCTGTGGCGGTGGCTGGCACTGCCACACGTCCCGGCAGGACAGGGGGTGAGAGGCCCAGAGATGAAGAAGCAGCAGCTCTGTCTCAGTGATGGCAAATTCCCTTCTCCCAGCTGCAACAGCTCCCAGTGAGAGTTCTATTCTGAAACTGAAGAAACCAGCCAGCTCCTAGCCACCCCTGCCCTCCCTTTTTTCCTGGCCCTCCTTTCCCCCTTGCCCAGCCAAACTCTTTGTGTTTCTCAAGCACCCACTCAGTACCAGCAGTCAGATTTCTCTGCCACTGATGGGTAAAGATTCCCTAGGAGACAGAACAAAAGGAAGGACACTTAACCCCCAACACCAACAAACAAAAAAACACTCTTCCCAGCCCCCCAAAAAAGAACACACCAGAAAAACTCTGAAATTCCAGCTAGGATTAAAAAAGATATATTCCTAAGGGATAGCAACACTCACCTTCCTCTGCAGCTGGTGGAATCCAGGTGGAATTCTGGATACCGAAAACAGCAAGCAGACATCAGGAGACTCTCTAGGTTTTAACAGAACAAGCTTAAGATTCAAAACAGGCCATCTAGGTTGGATGCCAAAATTCAGACAGCAAAATCTCACCAGTCTTGGTTTAATCAAAGATGTCAAGCATTGCATTAAGCAAATGAAAACAAACCAACCAGCCTAGCAAAACTAAAAAGAAACCTCAAATAAACCCCAAGAAACAACACTCATGTGGAGAACAGTCAAGCAACAGAACAGAAAGTACTCCAGAGTTGATGGATGATGTGAACATCTTGGCCCTGGTAGGCCAAAAACCATGGGAAGTTCAAACAGAAATGTGAGGGAGATAGGAAAAGGAATGTGTGCTTTGTTTTAAAGTAGTCATGAGAAACTGCACCTGCAAATTGTGGTTGTTAAGAAACATGAGTAATGTGATTATTGCTTGGCAATGGAAAGTTTCACTTAAAGCTGTAAAAGTATATAAATCCAGTTCTAGAGATACTAGTTGACTTCATGCCTTCACAATAAACTTCTTGCTTGCAAGCTAAGAGACGTCCCATCTCTTCAATTGCTGACACACAAACAGCAATTTTTTGTGTTTCTTAAGACAAGAACCAATGCCTGCTTCTTCAATAGCACCAGAACAACAGGCTCAAAGACAAAGTACACTCTGGCAAGTTCAATTTAATGAAAATATATAGAATATGTAAATGCATATGTGTACTTTGAAACTGAATCAACAATCTGATTTAAAATAATAATCATCTGATACCATTATAAAAAATCCTCTGCAACATTAATCAAGAGGAAATAAAACCATCAGTTTTCCAAGTATCCTGAGAAGACATGGGTTATACCTAAATGTATTTTACTGAACTACTAACCCTGCTCTCACAAAACTGCAGTGTCAACTGACGAGGAAACGTGACACAGTTAATGGTAAAAATAACTGGGATAAAATTCAGAGAAAATATTTGCACTTCAAGAAGTTTCCTCTGGTGTAATGAGAACACTTCTAATGAGTTAGAGATGAAGATACAAAACATCAGAAAACATCATCTAACAAAACCCCCTCGTGAAATTTAACTGAAGTCACCATATTTTAATATCAAAGTAAGAAAATTCATAATAAATCTTACTACACTGGGGTAGTACAGCAAGTAAGGAACTACTTATTGGTATTGTTCTGGAAAATGATCTTTAACTGCACTTGTGCAGCAGAAGGAAATCATTAAATTCCAAGAACATTCTGGATTTTACATTCTGCTAATTTTCTATTGGTAAACCAATGGCAATTACACCTTTACATACCTTTAAGGGTACCTTTTTAAGATACTATTTGTCTCAATTTTCAGTTGCAGTAGACAACAACGTAAGGATGGACACATGCAATTACTGTTGTCAAGGTAAGGACAGGGACAACTTTCAAGCTATAGCAGATAAAGAATTACCTTCCCTCCTCCCACCCCTTTTTTCTCTAAGGAAATCTTCAAAGTGGACTGAAACATCTCATGTATACCTGTATCTATACTTATCTGTGATTTAGGTCACAGAATTTAAATTAATTACCCAAGACATTTTTGTATGAGGCACAAACAAATAATGTAAAAATACACATTTTATTATGTACATTCAGAGGTTCAACTTAATTTAAATTGATAGTTTTTCCCTCTTCAGTTCCATCTTTTGCCTCAAGACACTGTGCTGCTGCTTCCAAATCTTCTTCAGTGACCTGCAGAAAGATATCAATTTTGTTATATTTTTAAAAATTACTTCATTCTCCTTGATCCTGAAAATCCTTGCCTCACACTGTCACTGTAACAAGAAAGGACAACCTACAAAGACTACTATCTTCTCCAAAATGAACCTGAAGGACAAGAATATTCAAACTAAGTTCAGGGAAGATGCCATGGGCAGGCTCAGAATATATCCTTGGCTAATAAGTTTCAGAAGACATGAAGTACTTCTTTTTTCTGTCCCTTCCCAAACAAGTAAATAAAATTATTGATTGGAAGGCTCTAAAACAGCTGCTCTTTAATTCTTAAAAAGACTTCCTATGTTTATACATGTCTTGATAGTGGTTATTTGGTAATATGTGGGTTATAGTATCTTATAGTTCCATTTACCTTAAAATATTTTAAATTGGACAAATCATATCAATCAACTAGTATATGTTTTTTTAAATGGCACAGTGCATTTTAATAACAGACCTCAGAAACAATGCTACCATGTCCTCTAATGAACAAGCAGTTAGATTTCTGATTTCCATTCACCTGTGAATATTTCCATTCCTAAAGATATGTTCTTGAGTATGTTACCTACCTCTGATCATTCAAATTGTCCTCTATCAGAGTATACCCTTGTATTTGGTAACCTGTAGTTCACCACAAGTGAGACTTACCAGCCTCTTTGATCTTTCCAGCAGTTTGTGCCATACAGTGTGGTGAGCCTGCATGAAATGTCAGTAAACGATGTTAACAGAGGTAAAAAATACTCTTATTACAGAATAGATTCTGACAAATGTATAGAAATGATGGCGCAAAACCACAAAAATGCCCAGTTCAAATGCCACAATTTACAATTTTGATGTCCAATCTGCCCATATTTACATGGGGGACTTGAATAAATGTCTACCCATCACATGCCCTATCCCTGGAAGTGCTCATGGCCAGGTTGGATGAAGCACTGAGCAACCTGGTCCAATGGAACATGCCCCTGCCCATGGAAAGGGAATTGGTACTGCATGAATTTTAAGGTCCCTTCTAACCCAAACCATTCCATGGTTCTATGATTGATCCAGTGTATGGAATCCTTGAGGAGTTAATTGGCAAAAAATGGGAATTATGCTTAGGATGGGAACACAGAGGTGAGCTGAGGAGCCCTTGAAAACATCTCCAACTAAGATAATAACACATGTGCTAGACCACAAGCTCAAAATCATGTAAGTCAACAGGAATGGGAATAAAGACTCCTGCCTCCATATTGAGTCCTGCAAAACGTTTAAGATTCATTAGAGCTAGGACTTTTAGTTGTTGTTGCTACATTTTACTTTGGTGTCATGAAATTCTTTGAATGGTATATTTATCATGAGTATAAATACAAAATTCTGATCTTTTAAGCACTGTCAGTAGCCTTGATATCAGAAGACTAGCATGCACAACTTAGGCAAGCAGAATGAAATATCCTCGCAGAAATTACACAACCAAAACACTTTCCATATGGAAAAACAAAATCATGAGGCCTCTCATGCAAACTTTTCTAGTTCTTACTGCACATCCACAACAGTTTCAGGAAAATGAACCCCAAATATCCAACAGAGTCATTATCAGGGCCCCCCCCACTTTCTACAGCTCTCAACTCTGAATTCCGTTTAGCTACCAACACAACATCTAACAAAGATGGAAACCCAGGCAAAATGCTCTACCTTAAAGAAGGAAAACCTGTGCAAAATGGATTATTTACCTTCAAATGGACTGGCAAGGACACACCCTGGAATCTCCTTATTAATTCAGACTGGTCAGTCTGAAGATTATGGGCTGCTGTTATCTCATACTGGAAACAGAAACTTGTCCTTGGAATATGAGGACCTTCACTAACATCTACAAAGTCACCAAACCTGGGGAGATGAAAAAAAACCCAGCTTATATGCCAAATATTTGGAGTGAAATGCAAGGAGATTAGGTTTTATTTTTAATTAGGAAATTACAGTTAACAGAAAGAAAATTCACACAAATCACATACCATATATAAACAAATCTCCAGCTCAGCATTTTTAAGTTTCCTAAACCAAAAGTACAGGTCACACAATTTCCTCAAATGAACTTAGGACATTTAAATCTCAAGTCTAGAAAGTATCTTAGGTTTAGAAAATCTTTGATGCCATGTTGGCTCTAAAACTGAGTTAACTCTCATTCACCAAGAAAAGATTTGTCTCCAAGACTGCCACAGTACTGTGTTTACTATGTGCAGTTATTTCCCTTTCCAGTTCTTTGAAAACTGCAAATCAATTAAGAAAAGAGAGATGGCAAAGAAATACTGAGAATGAACCTCTCCAAGAAAGCAATAGGTAAGGCCATTTTCCCCTTTATTGAGCAAATCAGAGTGGGAAGAAGAATGACCCAACATTGTTCTAAAATTTCAAGGACCACCACTGCAAAGACATCTGTTCCTTTAGATACATGTGCACCACAAAAATTAAGAACTCTTCAGACATCTGCAAAACTGAATATCCTGCAATAGCCTAAGACAGAGAATTGCCTGAGACTCAATACAAGCTTCCTGCCTCCAGGCTAAAAACTCTGTATCTTATTGTGGTGGTTTGGCATTTAGGAAAAAAAAGTGGAAAATGCCCATGGAAGTGATGACTCAGAGAGAGGCTGCTGGGAGTTTCTTCTCTGCTTGAGATCAGGCCAATAGCTAGCCAGTTTTAAGAACTGACAGCATTTTAAACCACTGAAAAATAAGATCACCTTTGTGAATGCCACCTTTTAAAAACTCAAGCCCAGAAACTCTGGCTCTATTTCTTTCCAGCCTTGAAAGGTAACAGAACTCTGGTGCGGCTGACCCACTCCCCCACGGCCTTTGTGGCCTGGGGGAGGGCTGGGCCAGAGCCCAGCAGCTCCTAGGAGGGGGATGGAGACTGTGGGGTGGCAGGAGCCCCTTCCCAGAGGGGCTGAACCCCTCAGGAAGCCCGCTGAGCCCTGTACAGTGGTGCGGCCGGGCCAGGCTGGTCCCTGGATCAGCTGAAATTTCTGCCACTGCTGAGTTTCACCAGAGACTGCCGAGTAAGGGGAGGGGAAGCCATCGGCCCACAGAGTGCTGCCTCTGAGTGCTGGCCTGGCTACTGAGATCCTAGCCACCCTCTCCCAGCACAGCCACCAAAAATCCTCCATCGCAAACATCCCTGGCAGAGATCATGGGACCATCCACAAGACTTAACCCTTTCACTACACAGATGAGACCTGCAGATTTAATCCCCTCTACAGAAAGAGGAAAGCAAGAGCAATCAACATGTAAAGAGGCAACATGAAACATCAAGGTCAGTAAAAGGAGTCAAGCCTCAGGTAGAAGGAGAATGAAGAGATGCTTTAATAAGCTGAAATATTCTTTTGGTAGAGCCGTGGAAATACACAATAATGTTCTGAAAAACTTCATTAATTCATTAAAGAGTACTGGGGGGAATGAATTATTCAAACTGTAGACCTGAGCAAAGGTATCCCTTGATGAAGGTAAGCAGATAGTGGAGTAGTTGTGATCCCATGAAATGCTTGAACAGAGAAAGAAGTGAGAGTTATGAAGACCCTTTGCCCCCAGGGAGAAAAGGAGAAAACCTGTTCCCAGAGATGATCACAGAGACAGATGAAGAGAACCTTTGCATTTGAATAACTCATCCTTAAAATAATACCCCATGAGTTCATGGCCCATGGATACACCTCAGAGTGGTGTAAAAATGAGAGGAAAATATGATGGCAGTTTTTTTCTGGGCGGCTGCCAGGCATGGAAATGAAACACCATGAGAAAACTCTTTTTCTTGTAGAGAACTCTCTCTCCATGGAATGACAAGAGAAAATTCCTCTCTCTACAAAGACTGATGAAAAGACTTGTATAGTTAGTACTGCTTTAACATCTCAGGTTTTGTCTCTGTGCTGTCAGTTGAAAAAAGAAAAAGGTTGGGTGGAGGGGAGGAAAGGTTTCTGGAAGTTTTATTCTGGTTTCTTATTCTTATAGTTCTATTAATAAGCTTTCTCTGTTACTTTTAAGTTTTAAGCCTGTTTTGCCCTTCTCCTAATCTGTATCTCACAGCAAGATAAATGAGTAAGTACTCTGGCGATTTTAGCTCGAGATAAAACCACCACACTTAGGCTGTATCCCCAGGATGCTGTTCTATTCTCATCTCCACCACTAGGGAGCAGTAGCTTGCAAGTTAGGAAGATCTTGACAACTTTGAAAGAAAAATTCATTATACAATGCTAACTCTTAATTTCAAACCAGTAATTGGTTTGTATTTTATTTAGCCTGTCAACCTAAGAGATTTATTTAGTTTTCATGTGAAACCACTGAAAGCAGTAAGACTTCTTTGGCACTTACCACCCTTAACATAACAAGAAATAGAAATGTAGTATCACAAAATAATGTTTGTATTAAAATAACTAAGCAAACAAACCACCCCAAGCAACTTAAGACAGACCACAGACAGTAATGAATACAAATAATCTTTAAATTTAAAACCATCACAAGTAATTTTCTCTTCTCCCTTGCAGAAAGTACTTGTAAAATACTCAAATGTTCTAGTGAATCATTACAGAATGGGAGTTCAGTTTTGCTTACCTATGTAACTGTACAATTCCTCCCATATTCTGAGAAGCTTTTCTTTCTATCATCTCCATTTTGTATCTGGACAAGAAAAAGAATATTTTTTTAAAAATCTTCACCTCTAATACCTAGTTCTTATAAGAACACTTCAGAAATTAATTTAATTCATTTAAAATTCCTAAAAAAATCATGCTTGTATTTATGTGAGCTTTGAGACTGGTTTAAATTCCTAATGACAACACATATTGATATGCTTCATTAATAGACCTGTTAGTTAACTCAGTTCATGGAAAAATTACAAAGACTTTACTAAGCACTGCTGAAAGGCACTTTAAAAATAATGCAATCATCAGGCACTATCAGGATGGGATCCTGAGACAGGATGTTTGGGAATGGCCCAGTGCTGTGCTGGGAGGTAATTCAGACTGGACACTAGGAAGCATTTCCTTAGGAGATGGTGTTCGAACACTGAACAGGCTTCTCAGAGAGGTGGTTGACGCCCCAAGTCTGTCACTGGTTAAGAGGCACCTGGGCAATGCCTTTAATAAATTGCTGTAACTTGTCAGCCCCCCATCAGTCAGGCAGCTGAACTAGGTGGTTGTTGTAGGTCCCTTCCTATTGAAACATTTATTCCAGTCTATTCTGTGCATATTTTATATGAGGGCCTTGCTCCCACACCAGAGTTTTATTCAGAAAAACAACGGACCTACTACTACAAATAAGAGTTTTTCAGGTAACCTGTAAGACTAGAAGACACCAATAGACCACATAAACTGATTTTATGCAATGTGTAGCCCTCAACAGCAAGTGCTCTAGTCACACCTCGGGTCATCCTGCTCCTGGGGTGTGACCCACTCCTGGAGCGGGCCGAAGTGATAGAGCCAGGTAAGCTCTGGCTGATGCAACAATTTTACCCGTTTTCCCCCTGAAGAGTTCAAAAACTGCATTTCACCAAATCTCCATTTGAAGATACCAGGACATGAAAAAGGTACATTTCTTTAAATATGGAAGCCTTTCAGCAAAGGCTACCATGTCAAGGCTAACCACCAGAGCTTCAATTTAATAGTAGTGGAATCTTGAAGCTTGCTAGTGAACAAAAGAAGTCTCAGTCTTTCAGCTTGTCACAAAACGACATCCAGTAAAGGTCCCTGGTGTTGGCCTCTGGAGAGAACAGTAAGAACTAAGTTAGCTGGTGTAAGTTGGTAGAAAGAGAATGGAGGCAGTCTCATTCAGAGCAGTGGGAGAAGTACCTTCTTACTTCACCTGTCACATCTTACTTTAGATTTTTAAAACCAAGCAGTAATTTGATTGCCTCTTAGAAAGAAAGGAAAATTCAGACACTCACATATTATGCTGAAACATTTCACGTGCTACTTTTGCTTCAACATGCAGTGTTTCAAAGGGCAGGTCTTGATGGATTAGCTTTTTGGCATCCCTTGTAAGAGAACGGAAGTTGTCCTAGAAAAAGGACATAAAAACTGTAACCACCTTTTCACAGATGTAGTGAATAGATAAGCAAACACTAAATATTAGTCAAAGCATCAAAGATCATCTACTATAAACCCTAAATACAGCAATTTTACTGTAGGAGTATCTTACTATTATCGTAAGAGCACTACAGATCTTCACTGTTTTAATGGACAGATTCAATGCCCAATAGGCATTTTTCAATTGGAAAGAATATATATTAATTAACATATGCCCAGGTATTTCTGACATGGCACTAAATACACAGTCTTGCTACTGTAAAATACTCATCTATATATCTCGTTTCCCAGAGTGGTGTTTTCACTTACAAATAAGATCTATTGTGATAGATCAAAGCGAAAAAAGGTACTGAATATTTAATAAATAAAAATTGGTCACCTTGGACAAGAATCTGAGGGTCTGCGTAATTCAGATTTACTCATAAAAAATAAATTGTTATGAGGTGAAATTACATTTAAAATGTCAAGTAGAAAATATTTCTAACTAAATTACTTCAGGTGCAAGATCATATTGAAGAAGAATTCTGCATTGTACCAATATTGCTTTGCTAGCCATACACACCTCTGATGGTTTTTGGGCACAAGAACAAGAATGGGTACCAGAGTGGCAAAACACTTGTGATCACAAATGTTTCTGACATTTAGAGTATTCAAATCATTAGATTTACTGCAGAGAATGAAATATAAGCAAGCTATCAAGGAGAGCTGCAGCTGAATGTGCTCACAGATTTGATTCAACAACAAACTGATTCTGCTGCAAACCACCAGAAAGTATGCCTTATACACACTTTAATTTTCAGAGGCTCTACTCACACAAAGACTATGGCTGCACCTACATTACCAGGCAAGAGCAGCTGAGGAGGAACAGATCTGTACAGTAACAAAAATGGCACTGAGGTCCCAAAGGCCCATCAACTGTTTCTGAACTCGTACTTCAGACTAGAATTTTCTCGCTCCACAGACCTAAAGCCTGAAGCATGTGGAAGACAGCACAAGGTTTATTTTTGTCTGAAAGGAAATCTGAGAGCACTCTGCCATAGCACCAGTGTGTGGTAAATGCAGAGATGAGCTCCCAAAGACTACTCCTAATGTGCATTAACAAAAAGGGGGAAAAAATCTCTGTCTATTAAAAAAGAGCAACTGGACAAGGAAACAAGCTATAGAACCTTTTGGGTTTACATTTGAAAAGTGCTTACGTTTGTTGGTTTCCAGTCATTCAGTTTATTGTCCAGAACTACATCATAACAGAAAGCTCCAGAGATTACTGCAATTCCAACACAAAGAAAAAATATTCATGTTTGTAACAAAGTTTGTATTTCATATTCATACTATATTCTTACAACAAAATGAATGAGAAGAAAAACAGAATTATCTCTAGAAATTCATCATAAAACCAAACTTTTCAGCTCAGATTATGCTATGAAATGGCAGATTGAACTTGTGTTGTTTTAATTTTGTTTCACTGAATGAGAAAGTAATTTGAAAGGCATTTTAATGCAATGTCAGTATAACAGAATGCCAAAAGAGAGGAAAAAATACATTGCTTCATAAAACTGCATCTAACACTGCAGAAAAAAAAAACACTCACCTTAAAAATATTTCATTGTTTTTCCATTGTACGCTTCATACAATAAATGTGTGCTATTAAATTATAAAGAGGAATTTCTTGCATAGAGAAATCAGACAATATTAGAGCTGTTTATCCATGACACAAGCATGGCACAAATTTCTGGTAAAGGCAACACAAGTTTCTCTGACAGTTGTTGGAACACTCTTGTGTATATAGAGCTATGGCTATTTAGAAATCAAATCTAGGAACTCAGTAAGATCATACTGTTTCTATACATGCAGTATAATGGCATAGCTGAGTATATCCAAGATTATTCCAAATTCTGCTAGAACTGAAACTTATCAATCACAACAAGTGCTACAATTGCTAAAGAGAGAATCAGTTATACCACTTCACATGACCAGCAACCAACCTTCTCATATATTAAATGCACAATTACACAGGTTTTGTTATTGAAACAACCTCCTGTGCATTTTCCCACTTTTCTAAATCTTAAATCAGATCACAGATGAGCAGAAGTTTGTACCTCAAGCTTGTTTGTACCTCAATAATCTTCCAATTTAGTGTAGACATTGTCATTTTTAGTAACTCAAGTGCTAGACAAGGTTATGCAGTTATTAGAGCAAACTCCACAGAAACATGTCACATCACATCTAGAAACCTTGCTCACATCACTTCACAATACAGAGGTTTAGTTACTAATTTCAGCTATGGAATCCTAAGTGGTCTGAAACCCAGTGGCCACACGGACCAGTTTTCTGAACACTGATAACAAAATCGTTTTTAGTTGGGTTGTTATTAATTAAAGGCAACTACAACAGCATGTAATACACATATTTATGCTAAGTACCATCAATCACTGCTAAAAGAGCCTCTGATTTTTTTTCTAAGTTTGGTTATTAAACACTCACTTGAGAAGCAGCAAAACAATCAATATAAAACAATCAATAATACAAAACAATCAATATAAAACTCTTTTTTCACCTGGCACTTCTGGAGCTTTAACTAGGTTGACTGCATATTCATTCTTGAACGCTCGCTTTAGCACACATGCCATGATCATGGCACAGGAACGCCAATATGCCTGCAAAGAGAATTTCAGAACATGGATTTACTGCCTAGAAGCTAATATTAAAAAAAAAACCAAAAAAAACACAAAACTTAACTGGATGACGCACAAACCTAGCTGTCAACCCAGGCACTCCACCCCTGGAAGTGTTCAAGGCCAGGCTGGACAGGGCTATGAGCAACCTGGTCTAGTGGAAGGTATACCTGCCCATGGCAGGGGGTGGAACTGGATGAGCTTCTAATGTCTCCTCCAACCCAAGCTTTTCCATGATGCTATGATTACTTTCTTTAGTATTTAAACTTCTATTTGGAGATGATTCTCCAAACAGAATCAAATAAAAATCAAAACCGCATTTAGCATGTAAGCCAGACATAACTCTGGAGATACTTAAATCTGAAATCATAGAATAATGCAACAACTGAAAGGGAAGCAAATAATTCACCTAGTCCACACACTGGTCCAGCTAATGATAGCCACGATGCACCGTTAAAAAGACATTAAAAAAGTCTGAGCTTTAATGACAACAAAGCTCAGAAAGCAGACAGGCATGGAACTGAAAGGTGCACACAGAATCAAGTGGTCATAATCAGGGCCACCTGCAATGAGATAAGGTAGAGAGAGCCAGGGTCACCTACAGTGGAACAAGATAATAACTTACCTTGTTTACTTCCTCTGGATCTTCATCTTTGAAGGTAAGGAACTGAATTTCACATGATTTGGTCAGGGGTCTGTACATGTCCCAGATTTCGCCATCCACTAAAGCCAGAACAGAGTTCTTGCAATGCCATTCACTTAAATCTAAAGAAAGTAAAAAAAACCCTTAAATATTAGTTATTAACCACATTTCCCAGGATCAGCAGTTCAAATTGCTGCACTTCTAACAACTGCAAATTTCGTATTTGTAAGTGACTTGGAAGGATGAACTGTGAAAAAAGCCTCCAAAAAATAACTGTTTCTTTTTCAACTGGCAGCACAATATTCACCATGAGGGGCTAGTTCAGAAGTCCATCCACTTACGCATGGCACAGTTGTATGGTGTAGACAGAGCCTTGTTCATGACAAACGTACTGCCAGGCTGCAACTTCCCAGTGTATTTCACTTCAATTTTCTCAATCCGTGGGTGAAGAGACAATTGTCTCTCTTTTTCTTTGGTGAAGAGCTCACTACGCATCCGAATCACTTCATCAGGTCTCAGATGAGAGAAAGCTGGTGTGGAGATGTACCCTGGTGACAGGAGAGATACTGAGTAAGCAATAATCCTGGAGTAAGCAATCTTGGGGTGGGTCCAGCAAAGCAACACTCGTATGAGGAAAGGCTGAGGGAACTGGGCCTGTTCAGCCTCGAAAAGAGATGAGTGAGAGGAGAACTCATCAATGTCTGACAGTGTCTGCAGGGAAGGGTCAGAGCATGGACCAAGCTCTGCTCAGTGGTGCCCAGCAATAGGACAAGAAACAGATGCACAGGAAGTTCCACATGAACATGAGGAAGAACTTTCCTGTACAGTGACCAAGCACTGGAATAGACTGCCAGTAAGGGTGTGGAGTCTCCCTAACCAGAGATATTTCAGAACCATCTGGATGCAATCCTGTGCCATGTGCTCTGGGATGATCGTGAGCAGAGAGGCTGGACCAGATGGCCCACTGTGGTCCCTTCCAACCTCAACCACTCTGTGACCCATTCTGAGTTTTCAAAGCCTCTTTATAAGGTGTTGGTTTCTACAACGCTACTGATTACTCACCTGTCTGTCTCAATATTTACAAGGTAAATTGTAAACTACACTTCTGCAGCTCCAGCAAGTGACCATGCTAGGCCCCTGTACTACCTGCACAAAGTCACAACAGGAGACTCTGAGCCAACAAAAGGGGTCAAAAAGATAATGAGGGGTCTTGAGCATCTCTCTTATGATGAGAGACTGCAGGAGCTGGGCCTGTTTAATTTGGAGAGAAGACTGAGAGGGAATCTCATTAATGCATATAAATATCTCAAAGGCAGGTGCCGAGAGATTGGAGGCAGACTCCTTTCAGTGGTGACCAGTAACACGATGAGAAGCAATGGCCACAAACTAAAACACAAGCAGTTTCACTTCAACATGAAGAAGAACTTCTTTCCATGGAGAGGGGCAGAGCACTGGAATAAGCTGCCCTTGGAGGGTGTGGAGTCAATTGCCCTGAAGACATTCCAAATCCACCTGGACAAGTTCCTGCGTCACCTGCTTGTGGTGACGCTGCCCTGACAGAGGGGTCTTGGACTGGATGATCTCCAGAAGTCCCTTCCAACCCCAACTACTCTGTGGTTCTATGCAAAGATTAATGGCTGCAAAGGCCCTTCCCTCAGACAGGCCAACTCCCCCGCGGCGTAATAAAGACATCTCAGTCCCTGAAAGCACCGCCGCAGCACGAGCCCAAGCTGGGCCCGGCCCCGCACTCCCGGCTCCCTCCCGCACTCCCGGCTGCCTCCCGCATTCCCGGCTCCCTCCCGCACTCCCGGCTCCCTCCCGCACTCACGGGTTCCCGCCCACAGCCCGCGGGCGGCCCACGGCGCCGCCATTCTCTCACGGCCACGGTGCCTCCTCGCTGGGCTCCGCCGGAAACACCGGCAGCAGCCGCGCGGTTCCGCCGCCGCTCCGCGCGCCCCCGCCGGGCGGCAGGAGTCTTCCGGGACCCGGGTCACCGCTCCTTCCGCAGCCCCGGCGCAGCTCAGAGTCACAGACTGTATTCCGCATCGGCAGAGACCCGCAATGATCATCGGAGGATCTCCTGGTGGGTGAGAGGCTGGACATGCCCCGGCGTGTGCTCAGGAAGCCCAGAAACCCCCCGTGTGCTGGGCTGCATCCAAAGCCCCGTGGGCAGCAGGGCAGGGAGGGGATTCTGCCCCTCTGCCCCTCTCTGCTCAGACCCCACCTGCAGGGCTGCATCCAGCCCTGGGCTCCCAGCACAGCAAGGACAGGGAGCTGCTGGAGCCGGGCCAGAGGAGACACCAAGCTGACCAGAGGGATGGAACAGCTCCTCTATAAAGACATGGTGAGAGAGCTGGGGCTGTTCAGCTTGGAAAAGAGAAAGCCTTAGGGCGTCCTAATTGCAACCTTCCAGCACCTGAAGGAGACTTACAGAAAAGAGAGGCAACACAATTTACCAGAGCTTGTAGTGACAGAAGAAGGAAAAATGGCCTGCCTCAGTTGAAATAGAGTAGGTTTAAATTAGATATAAGGAAAAAATTCTTCCCTATGAGGGTGGTGAGGCCCTGGTACAGGCTGCTCAGAGGAGCTGTGGATGCCTCATCCCTGGAAGTGTTCATAGCCAGATTGGATGTGGCTTGGAGCAACCTGGTATAGTGAATGGTGTCCCTCTCCACGGCAAGGGATTGAAATGGGAAGATCTTCAAGGTCCTTTCCAACCCACACCATTCCGTGAATCTATGACTGTGATTGCAGTCCAGCTTTTGGCCCTGCACAGGACAACCCCAGGAATCCCACCACCATGTGCCTAAGACAGAGGTTGTGGAATCACACCATGTTTGCCCAGAGAAGTTCTGGAGCCTCTCTCCCTCTGAAGATATTCCACAACCGTCTGGACACAATCATGTCCCATGTGCTCTGGAATGACCCTGCTTGAGCAGGGAGGTTGGACAAGGTAGTGCCTTCCCACCTGACCCACTCTGTGATTCTATGATTCTGAGAGCATTGTCCAAACACTGTGTGTGCTCTTGACAGTTTTGGGGCTCTGACCAGTGCCCTGGAGAGTAGTTCTGAGCATTACTCTAGGCAGGAACCCCATCCCAGAATGTTGTACCACCACCACTTGCTGCCTGCTCCCCTTTGCTAATACTGCCCACCTGCACTGGGTTTGCATGGCTAGGCTTTGGGAAGTGGAGCGGGGGAGCTACAGAGGACCACCCAAGTATTTTGATGTGAGAAGCTGCCAGAAGCTTATCCAGTGTCCAACAGAGCCAATACCAGCTGGACCTAAGGCAGACCCACTGTTGGCCAAGGTAAACCATCATAGTAGTAGTGCTCAGGGATAACAGATTTAAGAAGGGGAAAAGTTACTCTTTAGCAGCAATTGTAAGCAGATAAGGAAGAACTGAGAATGCATGAAAGGAACTGCCCTGCAGATGCCAAGGTCAGTGCAGATGGAGAGGGAGAACGTGCTCCAGGCACCAAGAGCAGAGGTTCCACTACCCAGACTGGAAAAGTGTGAGTCCTCCTCATGAGGAGCAAGCAGCAGAGACAAACTGGCTGGCAGCCCTCATTCCCCATCTTCCTGTGCCACTGAGGAGGGGAGGAGGTAGAGAAATCAGGAGAGAAGATGAACCCAGGGAAGAAGGGAGAGATGAGGGAAGACTTGTTTTTATTTTTCACTTCCCTATTCTGATTTGTCAATAAATTAAATGAACTTTCCTCAGTTTGGTCTGGTTTGCTGATGGTGGTCATTTGTGAGTGATCTCTCAACCCACAAGCCTTTAACTCTTTCTCTTCCATGTCCAGTTGAGGAGGGGAGTGATAGAGTGGTTTCAGGGAGCACTTGGTGTCCAGCCAAGGCTAACCCCTCACACCTCCCAACTGTCTTTCCTCCTCAGATATGCTGCCCATATAGAAAAAACATGGTTCACATTAAAACAATACATTTATGAAATAACTCAAGAGTTCATTTTGATGCTTTACAATGTAGCTGATGATGATCTTCATTGCAACCCTCAGCTGGCAATGATATAAGTGGGCATCATGAGCCCAGTCTCAGACAGTTACACTGAATTAGTATCATTAAGAGCTAAAGCATGTCATTAAACTCAGCATCAAAAAAATAAAAGACATGGAATTTTCCACTGTGGAAGCACATCTGTGGAGCAGTGGGACAGCTGGATCCCCTTGGTTTGGTACCTGGCACTAGCTTCCCTCTTCACCTGGGCTCTCATCCATAAAACCAGGAGTGTGAGTATAGTAACTATTTGTGCCCTTCATTATGTTATTTGATAATTTGATAGGTTAAGAATTTCAGAAAGTAAATCATCCTGCTTCCTCATTTTTAAAATTAGTTAAATACAAGTTACTTAGAATGATGCTAATATTTGTGTAATTACAGCTCAACTACACCATTTCATCTATTAACTCAAGGAGTCATGCAGTCAATGATCACATGACAATCATTTTGGTTTAAATGGTTAAAAAAGCATAAGCAAAACAAGGTTACTAGTGTAGGGTATAAAAAAACACATTAGTATTCTATAAGTAGATAAATGCAGAATGTTAAGAGAATGAGAGACAGAAACTACCCTGTTCTGTCACTCTGAGGGAGTACTAAACAACAGAAGTAAAGTCCTACTTAATACTGCACACTGTACAAGGCACTGAATGCAAGGTCACTGAAGTGATACAAATTACAGGATCAGTACTGCTGAGAGATAATGTTTTATTCACATGATTCACATTATTTCTTAAACTAATTTCCATGCACAAGCTAAGTGAGAGCCGTAATGCATGGCCAGAAGCAGCAACAGCCTTGTAAGACAACATGCAGTGTAACTGCGGAGAGGGCCCATAGCGGGCTGGAGGTCAGACTAAAGAGTTGACAGAAAGAAGAAGCCAGCAGGATTCCTGTGTGTCTGTGAGAAGAAGAGAAAGAATATAAAAGTAGAAGAAAACAAAAAACACCTTTGCTGTGAAAAACACCATGGAAAAACAGGATTTATCTGTATTTTGGATTTTTGGGGATGCTTTCTCAAAACTACTTCCACAAATGGACTTGAGGGGTGGTGTGATGATGGCCAATGAGATGGGATGCACTATGGGGTCAGAAGGGTATAAAAATGTTATGTATGAGCACAATAAAAAAAACTTGGAAGAAGTTTCTTAAGGATCTGCTTTGTGTTGTGTCTGCTCCAACTATGACATGTAACTACATCTTAAGAGGTGTATTCTTCATAACACCATAGAATTATAGAATCATAGAATCATTAAAGTTGGAAAAGACCTCCAAGACCATCAAGTCCAATCTTTAACTGAATACCACCATGTCTACTAAACCATATCAGAGTGTACCACATCTACTCATTTTCTGAACACTTCCACCACTTCCCTGTGCAGCCTGTTTCAATGATTTACAACCTGTTCTGTGATTAAATTTTTCCTAATATCCAGCTTGAACCTCCCTGGCACAACTTAAGACCATTTTCTCCTGTCCTATCACTGTTACTTGAGAGTAGAGACCAACCTAGCTACACCATCCTGTGAGGTAGTTGTAGAGAATGGTAACATCTCTGAGCCTTCTTTTCTCCAGGCCAAACATCTCCAAATTCCTCAGCCGTCCCTCATCAGACTTGAGCTGCAGACCCTTCCCCAGCTTTGTTGCCCTTCTGGACACATCCCATTAATGCCCTTCCTGAATTAAGGGGCCCAGAACTGAACACAAGATTAGAAATGTTGCCTCACCAGTGCTTAGTGCAGGGGACAGTCCTGCTGGCCATACTTTTTCTGACACAAGCCAGGTGATACTGGCTTTCTTGGCCATCTCTCTGGGCATGTGCTGGCTCATGTTCAGCTGCTGTAACCAGCACCCCCAGGTCCTTTTCCTGCTTTCCAGCCACTCTGCCCTAGCCTATCCTGCAGGGGGTTTTTGTGACCAAAGGGTAGGACCTGGTAATTGACCTGGTTGAACCTCAGACCACTGGCCTCAGCCAATTGATCTAGCCTGTCCAGATCCCTCTTGCAGACCCTTCCTGTCCTCCGGCAGATTGTCGTTCCCACCCAACTTGGTGTTATCTGCAACTGACTGGGGGTACACTCATTCCCCTCATCCAGATTATTACAAAGGTATGAAACAGGGTTGTCCCCAATATTGAGCCCTGGGGACACCACTTTTGACCAGCTGCGAACTGGACTTAACACCACTCACCAGAACTCTCTGGGTTCTGCTATCCAGGCATTTTTTTACCTAGTGAGCAGTAAAGTGCTATGGACACTGTGGCAAAATAATTCTGAATTCTCCACCAACAGCATTGTGGCTAATGCATTGTCCACTGTTGCTAAGGTTGAATTGTGTCCTACAATGCCATGCTGTGTGATGGATCTTTTATAGAAATGTACCTTTGATTGCTACTGAGCTGCTTACTCAGTGGCAGTAATCTTGCAAGTTCAGTTGAAAAGAAAAAAAAGACAAAGACATTGATTCTGTACTTTGCAAGTCAAAGATAAAATCATACAAAACATTCCAGAAAATGAAGGTGGGGTGTAGGGGGTTTCACTGAAAAAATCTACTGAGAACAAGTAATTTGTATTGTCTTTACTGGTACTACCCTCACATTTTATGGCCTCGGTTCAAGTTTGGCAGTCCCATGATATATAAAATATTTTAACAGTCTAATAGTGATACAGTGTTTATCACAGTACTCTAGTCCATTGCATTAAAGCCAGACAACTAACCCATGGCATACTCTGTCTTTAAACACCCATTTGTGACAGCTTGGAGAAAAAAACCCATATCTTAAAATGTTTTAGTTCTTTTCTCAAAACTATACTTGCGCACAGTTTTTAGTTTCAAGGTACAAAACCAGCAGATAATCTCTCAGATAAATCAGAATTTTTCCCCAGATGTAAGTTAATTCACATG